AATAAAGTGCATGTTTGATTCATGTTGTTTGGTATAATTCTGTGTAAGACCCTAAAACTGGACACTTATAGAGACTCGTGTTAGTTTTAAATGTTCACAGCCATTGGATAAGTCTGGGGAGATTTATCCTGCCAAGGCTGATATTGGTGTGCCACCAAGTGTTGGGATGGCCTGTCTCGGCCACCAGGGAAAGACCCAAGGCACATGCAGTATGGGATTACTCGAATCCATGAACCGGACCAGATTTCCAGTATTGCCCTGGACCTTGGAGACGGATGGGCAAAACTGAAAAGTTACACCTGACCCCTAGACTCGATTATGACACTTTGCTAGGTGTCGGATTGGCCTGTCTTTGATATGCCAATCAGTGAAATCCTTAGCGGGGATCAAAACCTGGGTATGTTGGGACAGTTTGAGAATTCATCTGAGTGGGTGATCATAGTGACAGGATCAACCCCTTTGTCGGACAGAGGTAATGATCGGGAATGCACTCTCTCTGACGGAAACCAAACTGTCGGCAGTTCATTTCAATCGTTGGAATTTTGTTTTGCAAAATTAATATATATATATATACATATATATATATATGTATATGTACGGTTTCAAAATGTTTGCAAATGGTTTTAATTCCCGGGATCCATGTGAGTAGAGAGTGCGACACTGCTCTTTGCAGCCAAGGGAGAGGTCCTCTCTTGTCGGGCAGTGCTTGTTCATTAAGGGCTGAGAGGTTAAGTGTAAGACCATTTAGGATAGTACCTGCTAAGCTAATCTTGCACCTGCACACAGTCCCTGAGTTTTTATAAGATGGCTTGGCCCAAGGACCACTTAATGTAAGTGTTGGGCCCATAGGGTCCATGTGATGGGCTCAGGGGTTTACTAAGCTTTTCAGTGAATTCGGCTGGGCCGAACCCATGTGGTTGGTGTGTAGATCAATGCTTGAGTCCCATGCCATACAAAGAAGCCCAATTGGGCAGCATATTGGAAACTAGTTAAGCACTGAACACTTAAATAGACCAAAAGCCCATTTCGTGCTGGGTTGATATGATCACCCATCTATGGGGCATATCTGGGATTAAAGTCAGAAAAGGATTGGGCCTTTTAATCTTATCTACTCTGGGAGACCAAATTCAAATCAGATTTGAATATGGTAACCTTCTGATAAGATCAGGAGTAAGCTAACTTAATCTGCAGATAGGATTAAGAKMATCHCCTRTCCAAMTACWRATTTGGATTGGGATAACTCCTAATTAGGAGGTTTCTTAATCAAGAAGAAAKGAGGAGAAACACTAAGAGAAATCAATATCAGATTTCGAACCTAGGGTTTGGGGCAAGCAAGAAAGCATCCTGCGAATAGAGATTGGATCTCATACAGACTTCAGAAAGAAGA